GCATGAGCTACTCAGGGAGATACGACCACAAAACCAAACACAAACCTTGAAGTTTGAGTGACTCCTTATATTTCGTGTGCGTGTGCGTGTGTGTGTGTGTGTGTGTGTGTGTGTGTGTGTGTATGGCATGCATGTTCATGTGCATGTTTGTATAGATGGGTACACATGTGTCCGTGCGTGGGTGCTACAGGATGATGTCGACTTTTCAATTACTCTGTGATATTTATTGAACAGGGTCTCTCACTGAATCCAGACCTCATGGCTTTGACCAGACTTGTCTACCATCAATCCCTGGGATCTTCCTCCTACTCCCTCCCCATCACCCAGTGTTGGAGTTACAGGTTGCATGCTGCCATACCCAGCTTTTTTATGTGGGTGCTGGGGATCCAAACTCAGACCGAGCTACCTCCCTGTCCTCTCCTGTTGTATTTCTATTGGTCATGTTGAAGTTCAAGTGCAATACCCCACAGTGATGGAATATGTTGAAGGACGCCGGAAGGGCTCAGAAGCAAGGTCTCTCCGACTTCCCCTCCTCAGTCTCCTGTTCTCCCTCAGTGTAAGCCACAGACGGACACAGGTCCACCCCTCCCTTCTCCCTCAAAGACCTCCATTCTAGCTAGTCCAAAGGAGTCTTGCCCAGTGCCTTGAAGAAGTGCCATACCAACAGGCCAGGAAGTCTAACCTGACAGGCCTTACTGGGTCTCCCTCAGTATGTTTCCATCGACTCATCTTCACTCAGATGCATACCCTGTCCTCGGTTCCTAGGATCTATGCAGACAGTGTTTCCTCGGTGTCTGGGTCTGAAGGCTCTCATGTATATGTGCATGAGTGTATTGCTGCGTGTCTGTAAGTGCACCCATGCAGTGCAGTGAGGAAATTTTGCCTCTCTCTGGTTAGCCTTTTGTTGTGGGGTGGGAGCCAGGATATTTATCCTGGGAGAAGTCACACCTTGTGCCCCAAAAGATGGCTCTAAGCTACCAGTGCATCATACCAGTGCTGTGTGGAGAGGTGCTCCACTTCCTGGGTACACAAGTGCTTCACAGACTGCTTCAATTGACTTCTCTTTTTTCCCACTATTTTCTCTACTCTGGAGGACAGAGCTAAAGGCCTGGCTGGATTCAGGCCCACAATTTCAGAGGGGTCCGACACATGGCTGTTAACTTGTGCTACATCACTGCAGAAGTACCCAAAGAGCAGCTTCCTCAGGAAGTGATGCTAAGTAACACCACAGGCCTCCAGCATTTGCCTGTCCCCTTTTCTGGCTTCCTGTGCCCACGCCCACTTGTTCTCAATTTCCCACTCACCAATAGGCTACCTTGGACTGACTCGGTAACTCCACTCTTCCGATCTTTCATGCTTACCAGTGGAGTTACTGGAAAGAGTTCGCCTTGGCCATCAGGGAACAGGAAGTTACTCCTGCAGGAAGGTGATTGGTTCTCTTCCATCACTGAGAGTTGGTGTGTTTCTGTCTTGCCGTGTGGTAACCTATATTTAACTTACCTAGCTGTCAGTTGATTCAACACTGGATAGCTTTCACTTTTTGGCTGTTATTTATAATGGTGTTCTGAGTCTTTACACACAAGCTCTTGTGCGGACATGCATCCCCATTCCTCCTGAGTGTGGAATGGAGATAGTGCTGTGAGGTTCCATGCTAGCTTGGTGAGGGCTGAGTTGTTTTCCATGGTGGCAGATTCGTTTCTCATCCTTGCCAGTGGAGCAATGGTTCCATTTCTTCTCATCCTCACCAGCACCTGCTTTCCCATTCTTTTGGTACCAGCCATGACCAGCAGTGCAAAGGGCATCTCCATGTAGCTGGTTTTCATTTCCCTGTTGTCTAATGACGTCAGGCATCTTCCTGTGCTTACTGGCCATTTCTGTGGAGAAATGTCTATTCGGATCCTTTGCTCATTATTTAATTGGGTAGTCATTTTATTGATGAATTGTAAGTTCTTAATGTGTTTTGGACATGAATCCCTTACCAGATGCTACGTGATCTGCAAGCATTTTATCCCATTCTGTGGTATTTTGTTGTAACTTTTTGTTTTCCCTTGAGAACCAGGCTTTGATGTCAGTGCTTCCCTAACTTGTAACAATTATTCTTGTCAATATTCACATGCTCCTGCATGTGGCCCCTGGGAGCTCCTAAAAGACAAGCATCCACACTGCACAACTTCAAGACAAATACCGAAGAGGGAAAGTGATTTTCCAGTCTCATATTGCTTCATATCTCCGCAGACAGACATTTATATATTTTCTCTGTCCCTATGCACAAGAGTAGCATACTTTAAATAACTTTGTCTTTTTGAGACGGGGTCTCCCTGGAGCCCCAGCTGTCCTGGAGCTATGCAGACCAAGCTGGCCTCAATCTCAGAGAATCTGCCTGCCTCTGCCTCCCAAGTGCTGGGATTAAAGGCATGTGCCACCACACCTAGCACTTTATATAATAGTCCTCATCTTAATTTTTTTTTTTTGAGACAGGGTCTCCCTGCAGCCACAGCTGGCCTGGAACTATGTAGACCAGGCTAGACTTGATCTCACAGAGATCCACCTGCCTCTGCCTATTGTTTGTTCTGTTGTTGTTGGTTAAGTCTCAAATAGCCCAGGATGGCCTAGTACTCATAACCTAGGTTATGCCTTTTATTCCTGATCCTCCTTCCTCCACCTCTCAAATGCTGGCATCACAGGTGTGTGCCAAAGAGCCAGGCTAGAATTCACTTATTCTGTGTACTATGCAGTAATCTGTTAACAGACTTAGTTTGTTTCTTCGTTGCTGTGACAAAACACTCTGACCACTACCAACATGGGGAGGAAAGGGTTTATTTGTCTTACATCTCCTAGGTCACAGTTCATCAGGGAGCCCAAGGTAGGAACTCAGGGCAGGAACCTGGAACACAGGCCATGGAGGAATGCTGCTTACTGGCTTGCTCCCCTGGCCCCTGCTCAGCCTTTCTTATGTAACACAGACACACCTGCCCAGGGGTGGCACCACCCACAATGGTCTGGGCTCTCCCACAGCACTCAACAATCAAGAAGGTGCCCCATAGACATGGCCACAGGCCAGTCCAATGAAGACAATTCCCCAATTGAGGCTCCCTCAACTCAGGTGTGTTAACACTAAAGCTATCCAGCACACAGACCAACTGTGATGTTTAACTCTCCTTGTGGAAGGACATGTAAAGTGTTTCCTTATTAAAAATAATACTGTGCATATGAAGTTACACACAACAGCAGTCTGTCCCAGGACTGCCCTGGAAAGGGACTTGCTGGGTGGCGGGGCATGTCCTTGGTTAATGCAGACATCTTCCCTGTTAGGGTTCCAAACAGCAGCAGCTTCCCCCCTCCCCAACAGGGACCTACAGACTTTGGAGCCCGAAAAACGGAACTTAGCTGATAAGCACCTTGACCTTTGAAGTCAAGGGAAACAAACTCTGCTGAGAAGCAGCCTGCCTTTCCTCTGACCTCCAAAGACAGGACAAGCAGATTCCACCTGATAACCAGAGATTTTAGAAGCTGTTTTTCTCTTAAGAGGGAAAAAGTAAACACTTCCAGACCCTAATCCTACCTGCTTTTCCTGCTTCCCCCTCCCTGATTTCTCCCCCAAACATTCCTCCCTTCTACACCCTAAAGGCCCCATATATAAAGTCCCAGCTCACAGCCCATGGGCTGACATCTTTCCCTTCCCCGTGCGAAATAAATCTGTATCCCGCTGAGAATTCTATCTGTGCCTCCGTGCCTCCTCCATCCGCTCGCTGCTTCCACTTGCTCGCCGCTCTCTACCCATCATTCCCTAGAGCAGCTTGGTTTGTCTTCCTGTCTACATTTCAGCCAGTGCATTCCAGAGTCCCTGTTCGTCAAGCATCTTTTAAAAGACTCAGTAAAACCACCTGGAAAAATGAACCCCTTCGGTATTTTCCTTCAATTACTTTGGTGCCCCTCCACTCTCACAGGGTTTACTGGAATAATCCAGCAAAGTTAAACCTGAGAAAAGGCACCCGAATTTACTATTGTTAAAGGTGAAAATCACAAAACACCTGCTTTGCGTCATTCATAATTTTTTTTTCCTTTCTCCAGAGAATGCCTAAAGGTGACCTTCAACTTCTGAACAGTCTGCTCTCTAAAGCACCACCCTGTCTGATTAACACAATGCAGGACATGGAACCCAGCCAGGGTTTCCAGCAGGCAAGGCTAGAATCCTTCCAAAGGGTAAATGCCTAGTCCAATTAACCCTCGTGACAGGAAAGGTGAATGACCCAGGCAAGGTCTTCCAGAGTGCAGTTAGTAAACAAAGACTGTCCCTGTAAAGAACCTGGAGCACGGACAAAAGCATGAAGTGCACCCAGGTGTGGCTGGGAGGCCAAAGGACTCTTCCATGACAATGGGATTTCAGGAAGAGGATGCCGGGGTGTTCCTCTGCGCAGACTAGCAACATACCAAAGATTCAGAGTGCCCCTCCCTGCGCAGGAGGGGATGGGTGGAGGTGATGGGAGGTAGGGGGGGAGGAGGGGGGGGGTGGTGGGAGGTGGAGGTGCAGGAGGGGGCGATGGGGTGTAGAGGTGCAGGAGAGCCCACGCACCCCCTCCCGGTGTGCACACGGGCTTACGTAACCTTCACTTAAAACACGTGGGCGGCCACGCTAGCCCCTGGGCTGAAAGACGCGCCGGCTATTTTTAGAAGCCTTCCCCCTCCACCCGCGAGACTCCAGGCCCAGGCGGTCGCCGTCGCCGGGGGTCATAGGACCCACCCGGCCCCCACCGTCTCCGCCTGGGCCCAGCAGGGCCGGGCGAAGGGTTCGGTGCCTGGGGACCGCACCCGGATCCCGGACCCCGAACCCGGCGGACAGCGGAACGGCCCCTCCACGGCCCCAGCCCCGGGGCCTTAGGACTCGGCCGCGGCCGCTTTACGACACCGCGAGGGGCGGGCTGGGGGTGTAGCCCGCTCCAGCCAATCAGAGCCACCGCCTCCAGCCTCGCGCGTTCCTATAGGCCGAGCGCGGGGCAGCCATAAGGTGCGTCGGGGTGTCGTGAGGCCTTGGCGCTGAGGACGGCGGCGGGCGGCGGTGTCACTGGGCTGGGGCGCGCGGACCGTCATGGCTGGGGCGCTGGTGCGGAGAGCGGCCGACTACGTCCGCAGCAAGGACTTCCGGGACTACCTCATGAGGTGCGCGGGCCGGGGCCGGGGGTTCGGGGCCGGGGGTTCGGCCGGGGCCGGGGCCGAGGGGTCGGCCCGGGGGTCGACCGAGGACCGAGCTCCCGCCCGTGACGGCTACGCGGACCTCGGCGCTCCCCTCCGGGCTGCCCTGCCGACCCTGGGCGGCGAGCGCGGGACTGGGAAGGACGCGTGGGACTCGCGCCCGGCACCAGGCCCGTGTCGATCCGTTTTCCTTCCCTCGGGCACGCGGGCGGACGCTGGGGCCGAGGAGCCTCCGGCTGCTTTGTTTGGACGGGGTGTCCCTGACCCCGGAAGCCCCAGGGCTCGACGTGTGGACCGGGGTGGCCTTGAACTCCGGAGCTCCACCTCCCTCTGCCTCCAGCTACCTCAGCGCTTTCTTAACATTTCTGTGTACATGGCGGACCTTAGGCTCCTCGGAGGTGCAGCCGAGGGCAACTGCATAGTGTCCTGAAGAATCAAGTGCTGGAGCAGCAGTTGCTCTGGCAGAGGATCCGGGTTCGGCTCCCAGCACCCACAGGGCGGCTGAGAACCATCCTAACTCCAGTTCCGAGGAATTTGATGTCCTCCTCTGACCTCCTCCGACATTACACCACACGGAGCATTTACACCCATTTACACTTTAATCCCAGCACCGAGAGGCAGAGGCAGGTGGATCTCTGTGAGAAAAAAAGATCCACAAATCAGACTCAGTGAGTGAGCTTTGGTTCTCCCTGGTATGAAAAGAGCCGCAGAAAGCGTTACTGGGATCAGATGTGATCTCACGGTTAACCAGGACACCAGCCTTTCCTTCCCTGTTTCTCCCCTTGGAGTTTTGTTTAAAAAGATTGCCTTAGAATGTGCGGTGAAGCGAGACATGCTCCGTTTGTTTTGAATCTTGGTGTTGGCGGTTGTTTTGCTTTGTTTCTGTGTAGCCCTGGCTGTCCAGACCTCTCCATCTAGAACAGTCTGGCCTTAAACACAGAGATCGCTTTTCTCTGCCTCCTGAGTGCTGGGATTAGAGGCGTGTGCCACCATGCCTGCAAGACATTTATTTTAAGGGCTGAGTCGGTCAGTGTGTGTGCAGATGTAGAGACTCTCCTGATTTTCAAGTTTATATTAGAGATGCCTGTACACACACACACACACACACACACACACACACAAACACTCTGAGGTTAGATGCTGGATGTCAGTATTCTCAAGTTAATAAGGTTCTGACTTGAAGAATTTATGCTGATTACCATATGAGAAGTTGCAGGGAATACGCCCCAAACTGGCAGAATATTAGGGTTGGAATAGACCTTGGAAAGCACATCCCTTGCCGAAAACCGATCTCTACATCAGAGATGCCAACAATGCAAAATTGTCAGTTTGAGCCTTCAGGGGGAAAAGTAATACACAGAAACAGTTCTGAAGAAAGTAGGGGTTTTAGATACTTCTTTTGGTCTTTATGAGACAGGGTCCCCCTGTAGCTCCAGATGGCCTGGAACTGTCTATGTAGACCAGGCTGGCCTCAAACTCACAGAGATTCAGTGATTCAGCTGCCTTGACCTCCGAGTCCTGGGATTAAAGCCATGCACCACCACACCTGGCTGGTTTTAGATTTTTTTGGCTACCTTCTGTTTTTCACACCTTTTCCAGCACACTCCTCCTCTCTCTGCACACTGGTTCTCACACCCTGCCTGCCTTTGGTCGCTCTGAGCACTGCCCCCCCCCCATGTCAGTTCTTCCCAGCTTAACCTGTCGATGCAGTCCAATCCCAGGCAAAATGTCAGTGACGTTATTTTGTTGATTTTCTTTTGTTACTAATAGTAAATGGATTCTGGAGTTCGTTATAGAGTTTACCCAACATCACCAATAAATTAATAAAGACCATATGGAGAGACAGAAGACCCAGATACCCAGTTACAGTACTGAAGAGAACAAGCCTGGAGGACTGACACAGCCACTTTGTAGTTCACTGTAAGCCCACAGTAATTAAGTACTAGTACAGGAATGCACAGATAGATCAGTGGAACAGAATGGACAGCCCTAAGCAAACAGACATAAGTGCAGTCAACTGAGTTTTGGCCAAGGAGCAAAGAGTATCACAATGGTCTTTTCAACGGTGGTGCTGAGCAAGGGACCATCAACTTTTTTCTTTGGTCTTTTTGAGACAGGGTCTCCCTGTAGCCTCACCTGGCCTGGAATTCATTGTATAGACTAGGCTGGCCTAGATCTCACAGGGATCCTCCTGCCTGCATCTCCCAAGTGATGGGATTAAAGGCCTGTGCCACCACACCCGGCCTCCATCTACATTTAAGAGAAAAAAAAAAGAACTAAGTGGTGGTGCACGCCTTTAATCCCAGCACTCAGGAAGCAAAGGCAGGTGGATCTCTGTGAGTCAAGGCCAGCCTGGTCTACATAGTGAGTTCCAGGACACCTGGGGCTACAGGGAGACCTTGTCTCAAAAAGACCAAAAAAAAACTAGACATAAACCTTTTCTTTAATGAAAGCTTATTCAAAATTATATATGCATCGTGCTGGTTAGTTTTGTCATCCCCATCCTGGGAAAAAATTACCTCAATTGAGGAATTACCTCCATCAGATTGGCCTGTAGGCGTGTCTGTGGGGACGTTTCTTTTATATATAGAAATTTATGCATAGTTTATGCAGTAACTTGTTGCAATAGGAAAAGGCATGTCCAGTGAAAGATGGGTGAACTGCTTTCATTAAGATTAAAATGTGTAGCTGGACATGGTGGGCATGCCTGCAATGCCACACTCAGGATGTGGAGACCAGAGGATTTCAAATTCAAGAGCAGCCTGGGTTACATGATGAGACTCTTACCTCAACACAAAATAAAAAAAAAAAAACAATCTAGGTGGGAATAGAAAATGGAGAGAAGTCAAGGAGAAAATATTTGAAAAAAGAACTGATAAAGGACCAAAATCCAGTGTACAGCATTCGTTCATTACAAGTTAGCTAAAACAGTGCTGAAGACCTTAACAGATACCACACGAAAGACACCAGATAGCAAATTAACATGAAATTTGCTCTGTATCTCATGTTATAGAGAAACAAATGAGCTGCAACTAAACACCTATAACAATGGTCCACCTTAGACACTGACTGTGCCTAGTCCAGGGGAAGCTGTGAGGCCATAGGAACTCTGGGAGTACATGCAGGTGGTATAGTTCCACTTCCCGTTAAACTTGACTTCCTCTTACTATGGTGCATCCTGTAATCCTTGATATAAGAAATTGAAAACTTACTTCCACACAAGGACTCACACATGGCTTTATACATAAGTGCCAAAACTTGACATCCAACACATCATCTTCCAGCAGATGAATGAATAAATGGTACATCCATACAGACTGGAATATTGTTCAGTACCAAAAGGAAATGAGATACAAAACCATGAAAAGACATAAAGGAAACTTAGTGCATGTCACTAAATGAAGTGAGCAAGTTTAAGACTAGTATAGTGCATGTAACCGGGACTTAGAGGTTGCCTTTGTTGAAAACTGACTCTTCATTTGGGCCAGCAAAGAAATGTCTGATGGGCAGCTAAATGCAAGATGAAAGCTTGGTCAGGTTGGGATAGTAGTAAAGTCTGCTCCATCCCCAGAACATAGGTTTTAAAAAACTGGGAGTTAGCCATTATAGTGATGCATGCCTTTAATCCCAGCACTTGGGAGGCAGAGGCAGGTGGAGCTCTGTGAGATTGAGGCCAGCCTGGTCTACATAGTGAGTTCTAGGACAGCTGAGTCTACAGGGAGACCCTGTCTCGAATAAAATGAAGCAAAAGGCTGGGAGTGGTGGTGGCATGCTTGGAACTCTGGAGCGGGGAAGGAGACAGGCAGTTTCTGGGACTTGCTGTCCAGCCAGCCAGCCTACTTTGGCAAGCTCTAGGCCAGTGAGAGACCCTGTCTCAAAAAGAAAACAAAAACACAGGCTGATGGATAGCACCTGAGGAATGACAGACAGTTGAGGTTGTCTCCTGGACTACACATACAATGTGCATACAAACATGCACACACATGAATTGGCATCTCTGCCTTTCCTTCACATTGCATCTGTTTCCTTTGCTACCTTAAACTTGAGGTTAGATTCCTGTTCTACTCTGCAAGTAAACATGTTATTTAAGGAACAGTAGTCTTAAGACTGGTGCTACAAAGTTGATTTGTCCTAAATTTACCTGATTTCTCTCCTTCCCCATTGAAGTCTGAGGACAAGATCAGAGTAAGTGTTTTAGAATTCCAAAACCAGTGAGACTTGCAGGCAGATCACCCCATGAAGACTATTCCTCAGTCTGTCACACGTACACACAACAGGTTTTGCACAGAGCCGGACCTGAGATCATGATCAGCCAGACCACAGGCCCTCCACTGCCCTGGCTACGCATGCACCTTGCTCCTGCTTTTATCCCTTCCCCAAAGTAGTCTTCCAGCTGTTGGCAGCACTTAGGATGGTAGTCCCATTCCTTCCTGTGTGGCCACACTGAGTAATCGCTCTGCTTCACAGCCACATGTCTCTGGCTAGACACTTGGAGATGTGGGTGGCCAAATCCGGTCTGTTGGAACCCCAAGTCAGGCTTATGGCAACAAGTCCAGCCGGGTGATGATCTGGAAAAGGCCAAAGGATGGAATCAGTAAAAAGGTCAGAAGTTGACAAAGTGAGAGGGCGGGCAGAGCGCAGAGGATGTTTAAGGCAGGAGGACTACTGAGGACCGGAGCTGGAGAGACGGCTCAGCAGTTAAGAGCACTGGCTGCTCTTGCAGAAGGGCCGGGTTCGATTCCCAGCACCCACATGGAGGCTACGAACCATCCTTAACTCCAGTTCCAGGGGATCCAACAGCTTCTTCTGTCCTCTGCAGGCATTTTACAACACAGGTGCACTTTCTTACATGCAGGCATAACACTCATACACATAGAATAAAAATAATAAAAATATTTTTAAAGAACTAGTGATGACCCTGTAGTGATCCGAATCCAGAGAATGGACTCTCCACCAATGTTAAGTACACACATGTCAGCAAACCAGTGCAGCTATGTTTTGTCCTGTTCAAATAAAAGCAGCAGACCAAATAAAGAGAAAAGTGAGCACAGTTTGTATGTGGTTTTATATGACTGTCCTCAGGTTGTTTGGAAACCAGCTATGCTCACCACTGTACCACCGACATACCACATGAAGCTGTTGCTTCTAAACTTATCCTTGGAGCAGGTACTATTACATAACGGGAAAGGCATTTCTTCCTAGTTTAGCCCTGCAGAAGTATGCTTTTCATTTTTTTTTAATAGAATACATAAAATGTATGTGCCTAAGGTATGGTGTAAGTGTACCTGTGTCCCGCCGTGCCTCAGGAGGACAGACCCCTTGGAACTATAGTTACCAATGGTTCTTAGCCACCTTGTGGGTGCTAGGATTCAAACCCCAGACCTCTGCAATAGCAGAGTCCTAAATGTGAAAAACTAAATGATCTCTGTTGCTGTTTTCTGTTATTATGGCGAAATACCTTAGGCTGGGTACTTTAAGGACAAAAGGTTTAATTTAACTTTTAGTTTAGGAGGGTAAAAAGGTGAAGACTGTCTTTAGCTGAATCATGGAAAGACCTTGCTCTATAAAACCCACCCTTGAGAACTCACTCTACAAGACTGTTTAGGGTCTCCTTATATCCCCAGCTGGCCTGGAACTCACTATGCAGACCAGGCTGGCCTTGAACTCTCCCAAGTGCTGGGATTAAAGGCGCGTGCCACCATGCCTGGCTTGAAGTTCCTTCTAAAGGTGCTTCCTTGATAACCCAGTGACCTACCTCTTAAAGATTCCACCACGTTAACACTCCATGCCTGTGGACCAAGCTTCCAGGACACAAACTTTTGGTGATCAAATTATATCCAAACTATAGCAGTCTTTATTATGAGTACTAGATCCTTAAAGAATTTTCATAGGGAAAAAACTGTTCTTGGTAATTTATAGTTACATAAAAGGCCTGTGTTCAGTTCCTGAAAAAAAGGTATTTTAAGGAAAGTAGTATTTGAGAGAGCGACTTCCACCAAAATCCCTGGTCTGTCTGATCTGGTCAGGTGACCGGTCGCTCTTCTGAGAAGTGCTGTGCTCAGTTTGTACTTCCTGTGAGGTCCACTTTTGGTGATGTAATTTATTAGACTCTCTGTGCCTTTATTAGATATTTCATAATGGAACCTATCTAAAGTGTATTACAATTACATTGTGTCATAAATTAGAATCTCTGTGACCTTTGAATTAAAAAAAACCCACAAGAGTTGTTGGGTTTGAATATGTGCATAAAAGGTTTTATTGTTTTATTTCAATACCTTTGAGTAATTGAATTTTGAGATTTTTATCTTAAAAGGTTATCCTAGCAAGATAAACAGCTATTTCAGAAATCACAGTAGCTCACTATAAAACACTTGATGTATTTTTAAAATATTTGTTGTGTTTTTGTTGTTTTTGATACTTAAAGGGAACAAGCGGGGTGTGGTGGTACACACCTTTGGTCCCAGAGCTCCCAGAGGCAGGTGAATCTTGAGTTCAAGGCCATTCTGATCTACATAGGGAGTTCCAGGTCAACAGAGGCTACAGGGAGACCTTGTCTCAGAAAAAATAAAGGAGGGGGGCAAGTTTATGTTCAGGAAACATCATTGAAAGTTTCCACTGCCCACTCAGAAAGTCGTACATTCATTCAGTTGTTAACTTTAAATGCCAGGCATCATTTTAGGGTTTTGTGTCTTTTTTATATTTTTTTATTTTTATTTTATGTGTATGAGTGTTTTGCCTACATGTACATGAGTGCACCTGTGTCGAGCAATGCCGAGGAGCTCAGAAGAGGGTTTCCGGATTCCCCTAGAACTGGAGTTAAGGACAGTTCATAGCCGTCATTTGGGTGCTGGGAATTGAACCCGAGTCCTCTGCAAGAGCAGTCAGTGTAAGAAAAATAGGACCCTCCATGGCTGACAACCGAAACAGCACATTAGTACAGTTCAGCAGTGTGCTCTCAGCTTGTCACCAACAAAGGAGTGTCCATCCCCTGAAAGGCTACGTTGTCAACTTAAGAGTCCCAGGCCACCAGCCTGCAGTCTAAACAGGTGTGCAGGGTCACACATAGGCTTCAAGGAGTGTGTAAAAGAATATAAAATAGCTAATTAAGGGTTTTAGTGATTACATGTTCAAATTAAAATATATATTTATTTTATGTATATCAGTGTTTTGCCTGCATGTATGTCTGCACCCATGTCTTGCAATGCCCATGAAGAGGATGTCAGATCCCCTGCAACTGGAGTTACAGATGATTGTTAGCCACCATGTGGGTGCTGGCTTTCGAACCCTGGCCTTTTGAAAGAGCAGTCGGTGCTTTTAAACACTGAGCCATCTCTTCAGCCCCAAGTTAAAATACTTTTGACATCGCAGGATAACTTTAAAACTAATTTCCATTATCCCTCCTCTCTCTCTTTTCTCCCAGGACAGGGTCTCACTCCGTGGCTCAGGTTAGACTCCACTTGCTTCATAACCTTAACCTGACACTCTGACTTACAGTCCTCCTGTCCTAGCCTCCTGAGTGCTAGGATTAACAGTGCAGCCCTGTGTTCTGTTTGTTTTACTTTGCTGAAGGGTCTCCCTGTAGCCCCGGCTGGCCTGGAACTCACGATATAGACCAGGCTGGCTTCGAACTCACAGAGATCTGCCTGCCCCTGCCTCCCGAGTCCTGGGGTTAAAGGCATGCACCACGAACCCCGACCCTAACTTGTGGAAATTTTTAAATTACATATACCGCTTGAGTTTTTTATTTGTATTATATTTCTGTTAGACAGCTCAGCTCTGATAAGATGAAGCTTATCTTTCATAGAATTAAGATTTAATTGCATTAGGTCAAACTTGTTATTAGTTCTTTTAAAGACCTTTTTACATTTACTCATGTGGGGAAGGGGCATGCGTGCCATGGTCCTCCATATGCTCAGTAAGGAGCTTGAAAACTGTTTAGAGCACTGTTATTAAACTTGAATACAGGAGAGGTTAGAATGGACTAGAACTCTTGGAAAGGTCTGATTTTTTTCTTTTTGTTTTGTTTCCCCTATGTCTCCTCTGTCTGAACCTTGATGACTCCTCACAAAACAGTACGGTAAGAAAATTGTATCCATTCTGAGCATTTGTGGACTTTTTTACTTTAACAGAGAGACAATAGACATATTGGTGGCCTGTCTAGCCACCCTGTGAGATGGCAAAGTGCTCCAGGGGCCCTGCCTCTGGGCCCATAGCTCTCCTGTGCTTAGAAAGGAGCCTGTAATGTCTCACTGACAATAGTGACTTCAGAACTTGGCAGCCGATGAAGGAAAACAGAGAGAGGAGGAAAAACGGGCTAAGATGGTTCTTTCTGCGCAAGGAGCTGCCAAACAGACACAGACCTCACAGTGCTACTTGTTTCCATTTGAGCTTTTATAGCTAGGATTAAAAATCATAGAATACAATTATTTTCCATGTAACCATAAATACTAATCATAGAAGTCCTTATTTTTTAATTGACTCATCAGTTTCTAACAACCTAGATTAGATACATATTCCAAAACGGGGAAGAAAGAATTAAAGTATTGCCGGGCGTGGTGGCGCACACTTTTAATCCCAGCACTTGGGAGGCAGAGGCAGGCGGATCTTTTTGAGCTGGAGGCCAGCCTGATCTACATAGTGAGTTCTAGGACAGCTGGGGCTACAGGGAGACCCTGTCTCAAAAAGACGAGAAAAATGCTAAGTATGTTTATTAAAATTTTATTAAAAATTAAAATACTACACGAGATAGAAAGTATGCATTATCAACTTTCTGTGTTTCAGTGATTTCTACCTTGTGTCTGTTTGTAACAAGACAACATGTAGTCCATGTTGGTTTTGACTCACTGTCCTCCTGCCTTAGGTGGCAGTGCTGGGAATAGAGAAAGTACCACCACACTTAGCACCTTTGTGTGTTTAGGGGGTATATTTAAGTGTAGCTAGGTGCTCTACTTAGGGGGGTTTTTTAGCTTGTAGAGTTCTGTATCATATAATCAAAAACTACCATTCTTAACCTTGCTGTCACTTAACTAGCAATCCCCCAGGCTTCCAGAAAGTTTCAGATCTATGCCATTGTCTTTCCCCACTTTGGCAGAAGGCAGGGGTGTACCTGGTGGTAGATGGGCTAGGCAGGTCTGGTAAGCCCCTCTTAGAGTAACTAACTCTTCAGGCTTTGTTACAGACCTCACAGTCTGCCTAGCGAAGTAGACGTCCAGGCGGCCGTGCAGTGCAGAGCAGTGGGAAGGGGTGAATGGGGAGGTGCGGACGCAGTCCAAGTGGAGAGAGGAGAGGGAAAGGAAGGGTATTATGGAACAGTGCAGTTGGCAACGAAGTATCATCTAATAAAGGACAAGTAGGAAAAGAAGTCAGTAGTTTAATCAGTAAATAAGTACTTGTCCTCACAAGTCTGGGGATTAAGGGAAAGAGCAGAATGTCTCGTCGGAGTGTCAGAAGTGGAGGGTTCAGCATGAGGGGTCCACTTGGGTTCATGCAGTTTGAATGCAGGAAAACTAACAAGTCAGCCCAGAATCGCAGAGACTTGTCAAACCAATGCCTAGTTTACAGAGACTGTAACCCAGATAAAGCTGGGGGTCCTTGCCGTGCTGGCTGAATGGACACTGTGACATAGTTATCAAAGCACGAGCCTCAGAGTTTACGTTTAAAGCATGTTAACCTTCAGGATTTTCTTTTTTTTTGTTTCAATTTATTTTCATTTCATGTGTATGAGTGTTTTACCTGTGTGTGTATAAGTGCACCCATGCGTGCAGTGCCCACAGAGGCCAGAAGAAGATGTTAGTATATGTACTGCCAGAGCGAGAATAAGTGCTCATTTAAGTTATTGGTAATTTGATGAAAACTTGGGGAAGGCATTTTGGTGGACTTACACACATTACGGACAGTAGTTCTAATGAGGCTTAAACTATGCAAGGACAGGTTGTCTCACTTTTTTAATTTAAAATATTATTATTATTTTTATTTTATGTGTATGAGTGTATTGCTTGCATGTACATGAGTGCACCTGTGTCGTGCAAAGAGGGCTTCGGATTTCCCTGGAACTGGAGTTAAAGACCGTTGGTAGCCACCATGTGGGTGCTGGGAATCGAACCTGGGTCCTCTGCAAGAGCAGTCAGTGCCCTTAACCACTGAGCCATCTCTCCAGATCTGTGTCTCGCTTTTAAATTCTCTAACCAGATAGTCAGAAATTCCCAAGTTGTGATGTGGACATTGGTAGGGACCTTAGCACACAGCCAGGTTGTTGTGAGTGCGGGGCTCACCTTGTAAGAGCTGCTGGTTTGTTAGGAAAACAATAAACAGTTGAACCTCAGTGTCCCATGGACATGTGGTCAGCTTGCCAGGCATGAGGAGGACACGCTTCACACACTCACATGCTCACGTGGTAGGGGCACCGGTCCTGGCTCACCCACCTTTCTGCCCTCCTTTCGTTGTTCACAGCACTTCTGGGGCCCAGTTGCCAACTGGGGTCTCCCTGTCGCTGCCATCAACGACATGAAGAAGTCTCCAGAGATCATCAGTGGGCGAATGACGTTCGGTAAGAGCCCACCCAGGGATAGAGGAGGGAGGCACGGGACCCAGTCCCTGCATGACCTCAGCTTTACAGCGCCAGAAGCTGTGGTCTAGATCGGGAAGGCATGAAGAGCCCCGCCCCGTGGAGAGGAGCGATTGGAGGCTGAGTGCCTTGCCGATGTAGTACGCCAAGTTAGTCTGTGTCGTCGTGATTATTCTCAGAGCCAGCCCAACAGGTTTTATTATAAACTTGATCTGGAAAAGTATCAGTAAGTTTACTTGATACTCCAATATTTGAATGTAAAAATGAAAGAGAAGGTATAAATAGAAATTCTTTGAAATGATAGATTATAAAGAACAAGAAGATTCTTGCTAAAAAATATGTTCCTTAAACGTTTAATGAATAATAGACATGCCTATACTACAGTAAGTCTTCCTGAGCCTCCCCGTTTTGGAAGATTTTAAGTAGCAGCTCTTAACCATCTACCACAGGGAGGCCCCCCGCCTCGTGTCCCAGGGTTCACGGTCTCCACTTGGGTGTTTTCACAGCCCTCTGTTGCTACTCTTTGACTTTCATGAGATTTGCCTACAAGGTACAACCTCGAAACTGGCTTTTGTTTGCGTGCCACGTGACAAACGAAGTCGCCCAGCTCATTCAGGGAGGACGGCTCATCAACTACCGGTAAGCAGATTTTAATTACGTCGTTTTGAGGGTTAGAATGAAGCTAAGATCTTAAGAGGCGGGGGGTGGGGGTTGCTGGAGAGGTGGCTCAGTGGTTGGGATGCTTCCTGCTCTTCAGAGGACCGGGTTCGAGTCCCAGCACCACGGTGGGTAGCTCCCAAGCCTGTAACCCCAGCACTTCACTCACGTGCACACTCTCTCTGACACACATACACATAATTTGAAAAGAATAATTACTATTATTTAAAAGGGGGGATAATGGGGAATTGGAGTGTGGGTGTCTGTGAGAAACTTTTAAAACGTGAACGTTCACACGAAGTAGGATGTCAGCATTGTTACAAACCACGTGTTCTAGGAAAGTGTCTCCTGAAGTCCTGGAGCCTCCGAGACTGGCGGGATTTCTTTCTCATTGGAATGGTCTGATTATTTCCAGGATGAGCAAGCAAGTGTCTGCGTAGCCTCGTGAGAGCCGCCCTTGGTAGGGACCGCACCAGCCACTGCTGCCGAGCCTCAGATCCATCCGCGTAAATAGACTTGCTGAGGGAAAACATGGAATGCTGTGTTTAACGACCACGCCACCTTCATAGAAATTGCCGAGAGTCCCTGAACCAACTCTGTGCTGCCTTACAAGTGCTAAAAATTTATTTTCCTTCATCAGCAGTAGCTCAAAATATGCAACTAATTTAATAATTCTGAATGATGGTTTTATCTCCAGTAATCTATAGTAATACATATAGTATCTTTTGGGATTTGCATAACAAAAACCAAAGGGAACAAAATTTTGTAACTACAAGCACTTATGCACTCAAAATTCTTGAGGGTTGGGGACTTAGCTCAGGGGTAGAGCTCTTGCCAAGCAAGTACATGGCCCTGGGTTTGGTCCTCAGCTTCAGGAAAAAAAAAAAAAAATACAAAAAATATTCTTGACTTTTTTTCTTTAATGACCATAATATATCTAATAGTTGACCACATATCTGAAACATGTTTCTAGTGGTGAAAATGATCTGTGATTCCCATGCAGTGTGTATATTCAGAGGCTGTAACTTAATGGCAATAAATGATTTAAATATTTGCTATGTGAGTATGACTAAAATCATGCTGTATTTGTTAGGAAACTGCAGAACTGTATATCTGAAAGGATAATTTTAGGTGAAAAAATAGGACTCCTGGGAACTGTCGGGGCAGCTTGAGGAAGCACGAGCTGAGGCTGTTCTGTGGAGAGCCCTGGCCTCGCTGCTCAGTCTCCATTCCTCTTTAGGTAGACCTGGGGGGGGGGGGACACGGACCGGAAAGGATATGATACAGCAGTGACAAAACACCTGACAGCATGGCAGGGCCAGAGCGCCCCACCACCCTTGGCTGGCTGTCTGCATCTGGAGCCACAGCCAGGCAGCTCCCCTGGGAACAGTGCCAGTCCATGGCTCCCACGGGCTCCTCCAAACATAGTTACTTAAAGGAGACTTCAGGCCGGCTAAAGAGGCAGCACTGGAGCCAGGAGTGTTTCACTAAGCTTAACCGTTTCTTCTATGTATTTATTGTTTAAACTAGAGACAGATGCAGCCTACTAGTCACCCTACTAACCTCTTCTAGCCCTCAGGAGTTAGCCACCCCCAAATTTTGTGGGTCTGAATCTTCCTCCTCCTTCCAACGTTTTGGGGGAATTCTGTCCTAACATTCTCGAGTACTGAGGAGAGAGCACGTTTTCCACATCTCCATCACGAAGACTGGCCAGCCAGACTGTGGAGGAGAGTCCAGCTGAGCAGAGAGCCAGGCTGGCTGCAGGAGGTAGTGGAACCAGACATCAGGGAGGAGCCGTGGAGACAGGCCCTCCAGGTAAGCCCTGTCATAGCACACACACCACTGGTCTCTGCAAAGGTGGCCTCCAGGGGTGTACACGCTGCCCACTGAGTCACAGGAGTTCATCTGCCCTGCTTAGCTCTGCACAGCTGAGAGTTCAGATGATAGCAGTAGTGTAACGGAGTGACTGGAGCAGTGCGAGGGCAGACTGTCCTCTGCTGGCACCTGGCTGTTCACCACAGCACTGGGACCACGCAGGAAGAGCTGGGGTCCAGAACACTGTCTCAAGGCCTTTGGTTAGGTTTTCTTTTTCCTTTTTTCCTGTCTTTTTGAGATAGGGTCTCCCCATAGCCCCAGCTGGCATGGAACTCATTATGTAGACCAGGCTGGCCTCGAACTCGCAGAGATCCACCTGCCTCTGCCTCCTGGGTGCTGGGATTAAAGGTGTGGGCTTTCACACCCCAGCAGCTTGTTGCTTTTTGGGTTTTTTTGAGACAGTCTTTTGTGTGGCCCAAGCTGGCCTTGAGCTTGCTATCCTTTGACTTACGCCTCTGAAAGGCTGGTATTACTGGTGTGAGTCACCATGCTCTGACCTAAGTGTAGCTTTCTAAAAAGCAGACTGACCAGTTACTTACTCCTACTGGACTTAGAGACAAAAGATTTCCTTGTCACTGAGACGGCAGGTAATAGACCTCGTTGTCAAGCTCGGTGACCTGAGTGTGATCTGCAGGACCCACATGGTGGAGGGAACTGATTCCAAGTTGCCCTGTATTTCCACATATAAATAATGCATGCGCACACACATGATAAAAGATCTCCTTGGAAATGGTGACTCCTGACCTGGGAACCTTCTGTTCTTTGACCCTGGGAATTCCTGTTTTCTCTGTGAGAGACCTGCGGAGTCATTAGCGTGCTAGGGCAGAGAACATGCAGTGCTCACCCAGGTTCCACCTCTTCAGAACTGCCTGTGGCTTCAGCATTTTGGCTTCTGCTGAGAGCACCTTGGGCAAAGCAAGCACTGTTGCAAGGTCAGCCCGCATGGTGAAACTGTGCAGACTGAGCTGGGCTGATGTAAAACCTGATTACTTTAAAAAGTCCAATAGTATAAAAACAAATGTTCAAAACCATGAATCATCCCATGAGTCCAGAAAAAGGGCTACAGATGTTTTTCATTTCAAATAACAAATAGGGACTCGAGCAGGTTGTGACTGACCTAAGACTATCGGTGCCAATCGCCAGTACTCAAAACGTCGCGTTTTCCCACCTACAACTGCAGTTCATTTCCTTTCAGTGGATTCTGGGGCACAGGTGACAAGTGAGAACTTCCCTGTAGAGTCTAGCCCACACAGTGGGAGTGCCCTGTATGGGGGTGGGGACAGGCCGCTCGCCCAGCTGCGGAAGTCAGTGGCCTGGCTTTGTTATTCTCCGGCCGCAGCTGGCTTTAGGTCGCCCCTCAGTTCTTCGGCCCTTTTCTACACTTCTCACGAGGCAGGTGTCACTCAAAATCTCAACTTGAGTGGAGTTACTTTTTTCTTGTGTCTTTGCATTTCTAAGATGCCCAGATGTTTCCTAGATTGTATGGAGCGTTTACAGACAGTGCAAAAATGGACACAAGTAACAGTACCTGGGGACACTTAAACTGCATCAGATTACGGAGAAGACATTTGATAGCATCAAAATAACACCTGCCTAGAAGAGACGTGAACACCTGGACTGACAAGCTAAGGCAGAGCAGCCGTGACAGGCCTGGCGGGTTAGTGTCCGTGGGGATGAGCCCTGGAGGTGAGAAGTCACAGTCTTGGCTCTTCCTTGAGGCCGCTGAACAGGACTAGGGTATTACCTTGGGTTCTGAGGCTGTGACGATGGGTCGGGCTGCTCCCTGGCCCCTTATTATGAAAGCTAGGCGGGGCCTAATTGCCCTTACCACAGGTGTTTCGTCAGCATCCATGGCCTGCACACACAAACCTTAAAACCTCACTGTTCTTTGGTTTCTTGAGGGCTGTTCGTTCCTTTCCAGTTCTCTGAGGACTGTCCATTGAGGCAGATATGACAAGCTCGGTCACTAAATCCCTAGGCTTACATGAGTCCTAGAGAAACGGCAGGATTTAGACCCCATCCTTCTCCAATTTTACTAAGAAACGGGGGGCTGGAGGGATGGCTCCGAAGCTAAAAGCATGTTGCTCTTACAGGGGACTTGGGTTTGGTGCCTAGCCCCTTATATGGCTCACAACTGCCTATAACTCCAGTTCCAGGGATCTGATGCCTTTCTGACCTTCGAGGGCCCAGGCGCACATGTGGTACACAAACTCTCCAGCACTCCTGTGTACACATAAATAAAATCCAGAAATCTCTAAGGAACTGGTGTCATGACTTTCAGTTGTAATAATTATTTTAGGTATTTTTCTGTAATTTTAATCATGGCAGTGATATAAATTATTACAGATTTAATGTTTCCCTGTTAACTTGGGTTATAGCATTACTTGGGGGTGCTCAAATGTTACACCTTTCACCTCTGGGAGCACCTTTAAAGTTAGCCTTTCAACACAATCTGTACTTTCCAAAAGTCCATGTTTTCTGGCACAAGATCCCCCTGTCCTGCGCCCCTCCCCTTCCTCTGGCATGGAACCTCTCTACCACGGAACTGCTGTGAGCAGTATACCTGCAAACCACCAGACTTGGTAGACTTGTTAGCAGAGGATGTCTGCTTCTTGGCTATGTCTGTAGAAAGCACTGAAAAGGATTTGCTTGTGCAGGTGGATGTGCATGTGTGTGCATGTAGAGTCCAGAGGACAACCTCAGGTGGTGTTTCCCAGGTTCTGTCCTCCACTGGCCTGGAACTTGCCACGTAGACTAGACTGGCCAGCCAGTAAGCCCAAGGATCCCTGTTCGCACTTCCCCAGTGTTAGGGTTATAAGTGTATGCCACCACAGCCAGTTTTTGTTGTTTTTTTAACATGGGTTCTAATGGGATTTAGCATGGGTTTTAATAACAATAAAACTCAGGGCCTCATACTTGCAAAATAAGCCCTTTGCCCACTGAACTGTCTCCCAATCCCCTTTTAAAAAGTTTCCCTTTTTAAAACCACAAGTTCATATTGTATTTCCATTTCAGTTCCTGACTTTTGCCTTACAGGCTGGGACCCTCAGCTCCACAGTGGCAAGTGTTACAGCTCCCAGACATGGGGTGCTGGGGCACTCACCCCTGACAGCAGCTGGTGGTCCAGCTCTTCCCTCTGAGACCCTTGCCTTTTTGAAAGCTCCTTGGAACTCTTCCAACACTGAAGACCACCCACGCTTTGTCTTCAGTCCCACAGCCCCATCTCCATCGCCCCCGTCTGCCCTGGCCACTCGGCTGCTTCAGATCCCTCATTGTTTCTGCGGCCTCGGCCACAGTTGCTCTGCTGCGGTGCCTGCCACCCTCTTCCTCTCATGTCACCCCCACAGCCCGCTCTACCCATGACAAACACCAAAAGTAGGCAAGAAAACACTACTCGGGAAGCCTTTCATCAGGGACAACACGGGACAGTATTTCCTAGCTGGCTCATAAAGCAAGCTGAACAGGGTGTGACGGTATCTACCATCACTGTAGTCCTTCAACTGAAAGACCATGCACATGGCAGGCCTGCTGGGCACCAGGGCAAGTGCATCCCCTCTGGCCTGGGTAGAAGTACAGGGTCATCTGAAGTTCCTTGAGGCTTCTGATTTTAGAAAGCCCAGTGCTGGGGGGCTGGAGATGGCTCAGCAGTTAAGAGCACTTGCTGCTTTGTCCTTGAAGAGGAACCAAGTTTGGTTCCCAGGACATAACAAACACGTATAACTCTAGCTCTGGGGTATCTGATGTCTTCTGGTCTCCATGGCCACCTGCACCCACCCACAGATCTGCACCCACCCACAGACAGACAGACAGACACACACACACACACACACACACACACACATTTTGACCAACAATCATAACCCCGGGAATTTAACCTGGAGATGCAATTCTGGGGGCTGGAGAGACAGATCAGCTGTACCTAGTAAGAGCTTGTACTGCTCTTGCAGAGGACATGAGTTTGGTTCTCAGCAACCACAGCAGCCAGCTCACAACTGCTGGTAACTCCAGCTCCAGGGGATCCAACACCTTCTGGCCTCTAAGGGTACCTGTACTCCTCTGAAGGCATCTGCACTCATGCATATAGCCACACACCAGTACAGACACAGACATAATTTTCAAAATAATTTAAGGCTAGGCATGGTGGTTGCACATGTTTACCCCCAGCACTTGGGAGGCAGAGG